GGTCTGCGCTGAGGGTTTAGGGGTTGCGGGTTCAGGGGTTTGGCTAAGGGGCTTCAGGGTTTCAGGGTTTCGGGTTTCTGGGTTTTAGGAGTTGAGGGTTTCGGGTTTAGGGTTTCAGGGTTTCGGGTTTAGGGTTTTACGGGTTGAGGGTTTCAGGGTTTAGGGTTTCGGGTTCAGGAATTTGTTCAGGGGTTTTGGGTTCAGGGTTTGGACAACGTTCAAGAAGAGGTTCGAAGCGTGGACTCGCATCGACTCGCACGCGTTAAATAACTTGCCAAGCAGGTGAAGTTTAGTCTTATAGGTGGTCTCGTAGCCCGTCTTCGCATGCCAACACAAGGATGCTTTAAGGACACACTCGAGAAGCAAAGTCTCACCGAAAACCCGCTACCCCATCTACCCCGACACCTTTCCTTAAGCCCCTGGCCCTAGTCCCCAAACCCACAACTCAAAACCCCTAAAATCCCTCAAACAAGGCCCGAAGCCCGAAAGCTCTACAGCCCAAACCCCAAAACGTCAAACGATCCTCAAGCGTCGAATCCAACAGTTGCCGGAAACAGCAGAAGGGGAAGGCACCTGAGACCCCAACTGCTGGGCTTAGGGGGTCGGAAAAATTGAAAGATGCCGATACACCGACACACCGACCCGAGGAGACCCCCGAGAAACAAACAATATGCCGACACACCGACCCGAAGGGACCCCCGGAGTGAGTGGCGCAGGATGGCACAATACCGGGAACGATCAATTGTAGCAATACATTGATATACCGATACACCGGACCAGGCAAACCCTGGGAGCGATCGGCGCAGGATTGCAGCAATACGCCGATACACCGAGACACCGACACCAACCCAGAAAAAAACCCGGGAGTGATCGTCAGCGCGGGACAGGGAACGACCGGCGTACCGGTTTCTAGCGGGACGATAGGCGTACCGGCGTATCGGGGAATTCAGGACCTGGGGGTTGTTTCGGCGTATCAGCGTATTCTGGGTTCGGGGGGTAGGCCGGGGGGGGGGGTTGGGGGGGCGTGTGTGGCTTAAAGTGGGTTTATTTGGATCTGACACTTGTTTTCTTGATAGGAAGCGATGCACTAAATCCTTAGCATATATACACAAGAGACAGCTTCCAAATAAACCCTCTTGGTGTTTCCTGAGAGGTCGGGGCCGGGAAATAAATAATTTAAATATAATTTAAATCCTGGGCCCCCGGCCCGCCCCGGAACCCCTTTTCAAATATTTAAGTTACTTAATTGGGGGCCGGGAATTACATAATTTAAATTATTGAAATAATTTAAGTCCTGGCCCCCCCCGGACCCCCTCCCCAAATATTTAAACTATTTAAATTTCTTTAATTGGGGGCCGGGATTAAACAATTTTAATAATACAAATCGAGGGCCCCCCGGGCCCTGTCCGGACCCCCTGCCCCCTTGTTTGAGTTATTTAATTGGGGGCCGGGAATTAAATGGTTTAAATATTTTAAATTATTTGAATCCTGGACCCCGCCGGCCCCCCCTTTGGACCCCTCCCCAAATATTTAAATGATTGATTTATCTAAATTAGTTAATTGGGGCCGGGATTTAAATAATGTAAATCTTGGGCCCGCCCGGACCCCGGACCCCGTCCCCAAATATTTATAAGTTATTTAAAAGTATTTAAATTCTTTCATGGGGGGGCAGGGAATTAAATAGTTTAAATGATTTAAACCCCGGACCCCCTCCCCAAATATTTGAATTATTTACTTGGGGGCCGGGAATTAAACAGTTTAAATAATTTAAGTCCTGCCCCCCCCGGCCGCCCCCGGACCCTTTCCCCAAATATCTAATTTATGTTAAATTATTTAAATTATGTAACTGGGGGCCGGGAATCAAATGATTTAAATATTTTAAACCCTGGGCATTCTCTCCAAGTATGTAATTTATTGAACATCTTTAAATTTTTTAGTTGGGGGCTGGGAATTAAATGATTTAAATAACTTAAATCTTGGGCGTAGCCAGGGGGGGCCGGAGGGTCACGAGGCCACAAGGCGAGCAGCTTGAGTCCATCAACGTTTTTGGAGTTTTAGGATCTGGGGTTTTAAGAGTTCAAATTTCAGAGACACAAACGATAAATTTCAGGCTGCTCCAGGTGAACAGATGTTTAATGTGCCCTGGGTCTTTGTGTGGACGCCGCTGTCAGCCACTCTTTCGGAAACCGCAGTCCCGGACTCGCTGGTCAAAGGTTGGTTGAGCATGCCAGGCCGTCATTCGCATTTTCAGATGTGCCAACATACATACACAAACATTTCATGATTTTGTCTGTTCTGTTCTTTGGTGCCGCGCCACCATAGGCATGGCCAGAGAGAAAGTGCCCCTCGCGGTCTCGTTGAAGAAAGTCGTGCAGCTGCAGGGGAGAGCAACGAGTCATCTTCAAGAAGCGGTGCGGTGTGCCAAACTTTTGAAGATAGGCAACTTTGCGCAAGTTCTGGAAAGAGCTGCTCTTGCTGCTGCAGTGGGACCACATGTCCCTGGCCGACTTCGCCATTTTCCTGGCAGAATCAACCGCGCAAACCCATGTGTGCAGTACGAAGGACGCGCCTTTACGTTTGAGGATGCCTTCAAGCGTTCCCATATCCATTCCGTGTTCAACAGACATGATGAATCACAGGCCATGGGCACCGCATCACTGAACACGTGCTGTGCCGGACTATCCTGCTTTTGCTGGCGTTCTTGCGCTCCTCACACCTTGCTGCCTTCATCTGCGACAAGCTTGAGACGACCCCAGTTGCCCAGTACGACTTGATGTCCCGGTTGGCGGAGTTCAAGAAGATGAAGGCTGGCTGTAAAGCCTGCGGTTCTTGCCTCCGAGACCACTTCGGAGAATCAGAAGCGACGGTGTTCCTGTAACATTGAATTATCGATAAACTATCGCTCAACTAAGACGTGCCAAGATACACCTTGGCGGACATCTTATAGGCGCTGCTGGGGCGTACCTTTTCGAGGAGATTTCCTGGCTTTGGTCTTCACAAAAGAAGACTTGGACAACGTCTTGGCTTGGACGTGCTTCAAGAACGGCAGGCATCTCACGTTTCCCCACATCGATAGATTTTTCAAGGAGTGGAACATGTGGAAAGATTTTGCAGCGAGTCCATTTTGTAAAGTTACTCAGAACACGCGGATCTTCCAAGCCGCGGTGAAGCAGAAAGAACCTTTGCTTTTGGAAAATTTCCGGACGCACATCAAGCAAGCGCAGGTCATCAGCGAAACACGCCGGGAAGATCTGCTGGCCATGGATGCTTGCAGTTTGCGTGCCATGGAATGCAAGCTTGTTTGCACCGTGGCCAACTTCCGCGGCCACAAGGTCACCGACTGGAGGCATCAGACCCAGCCCGAGTGGCAGGGGTTGGGCTCCTACGAGGCTTGCTGGCGTCTCCGCAAAAAACGGAAACGAGGCAAGACTGCTTAGCTATTGTTCGCGCCCTGGCAGGTATTGGCACGAGTACAATGATCCCCAACTTATGCCGAGCCCCATCTTGGACGCTTCCTTGCAGTCTGCCGCCTGTGCGCTGTACCCGGCAGACTGGCGGGCGATCGGCTTCTGTACCCGGCTGCGCCTCCTGGGCCGACTCCTATGAAGCCCAAAGTGCACTGCGCCTCGAGCGGTTCCAGCTGCGTTTGGAGGTGGAGGCAGCCACTACCGACCTGGTTTTGGCAACTGAGGTCACCGAGCTCGAGGCTGCTTCCCATTCAAAGCATTCGGTCGCGTAACTTGGCGTTGTTGGCAGAATTTGCCAAGTGCTAAGAGGAATATCCGCGGTTTAGGGGCGCTGAAGGTCCAGGGAACCTGGACCTTTCCGACCACATGTCAAGAACCCGCACTTCCTGCAATAGCCGCGCTGCAACACTGCGTAGCCGGTGTTTGACCCAGCAAAATCAACATGTACACACCACACATTTGTACAGGTTGCAGAGAAACCGGCTTGTGTGTCACGAACCCGTTTATTTTCAGCACCTCCGAGGTACCTTGTTCCTCCAATGCGTCTGCAAGAAGTCATGCCACGGCTGACGCCACGAGAGCACCCTGACCACGTCTTTGCCAAATTTTGGCGAGCGGGCAGCCTGCGCGACATCGTCTCGTCCAGCTGCGACAATGCCAAGTTCCGCATCACGCCGCACCTGCAATCACAAGGTCAGCATCTGATGACCATGCCAGAGAAGAAACCTGGGCTGCTGATTGTTTAAGGTGAAGGTTAGGACGGTTAGGAGCGTCAATTGGGCCAAGGGCTGAGGGTGCTCAACAGGAATTATTTTAAGGATTTAGGCTTAGGTATCTTTTCCGAATGAGCCGAAGAACGATCCGGCATCAGGGTCTGCAAGCATTAGACGCCCCAGTTGGTGAAACTGATGGCGTATCGGCGTATCCTCGTGTTGGGGGGCGGGGAGCGGCGTGTCGGCGTATAGCGTGCTGGGGGGGCGGGGAACGGCACATCGGCGTATCGGCACAAGACTGTTGGGGCTATGCTGGCGGACCCTAACCCCGAAACTTTGAACTTTAGACCTTAGAGATTGTGGGAGCAAGATTCCGCAACCATCGTCCCCGTAAGATAGAGTTGGGGTTCCCCACTGTCTCCACTTCGCTACTCTTCCACCTGTATCAGCAAACTGTTGTTGATTATACTTTCCTCCTGGGTCTTGTGGTTTGCGAAGTCAACGTATAGCGTGCCAGTCTTCACAGCCTCTTCTGAACAGAGCTCGGGCTGCACCTTTGGCCTTGAAGTTATGAGCTCGTAGCACCAAAGTCTTACAGCCCGAACCCCAAAACTCAAAACCATCAAAGCCCAAACTATACCCTGAAGCCGACAGCCTAAATCCCAAACAGTACAATCCTAAAGCCCCGGTACAGAAGCCTAAATGATGACCGATGTTGTTCCTTAGGTTCCTTATTATAACTATACTATGAAGGAGCCCCAAAACCTTATTCTAATTACTAAGGCCCTTACATTAAGCGCTACAGCCCAAACCCACTGAGGCTTAAACGTGAGGGACGCGTCCACGCAGACCGTCCGAGATCCGGAGCGGCAGGCTCGGCCCAGGGGGTTCAGGGTGCCTTAGTTTCGGGGGTTTAGTGTTCCGGGGTTTGTGCGGTTTATAGGGTTTGGGGGTTTCGGGGTTCAGGGGTTTGGGAGTTTGATCTTAAACCGTCATTGAGGTGGTCGGGTTGTAAGATTTGGGTTTAAGGTCGGCACAACAGGCCTGAAACCGTGACATTCTCCAACCCTGAGGCGGGCTTTGGAGATGTGGGCTCGGGGTTTAAGACAGGAAAGACTGTGTCTTGTGTCTGGGGCTGGGGGTTTAGGATCTGTATTTTGAGATTTGCGAGTTCTTGTTTTGGGTTCAGGGTGGCCCATTTAAGTTCGAGGTTGTGGTGGCCATCGGTTTCTTGACAAGAAGAGCCAAAACTCAAAGCCCAAATCCTACCTATAGTCTCCACTGTATTTCCTTTTTGGCTTAAACGGTTTTATATTTAGGATTCGAACCTCAAAAAGGAATTGCAATGGAGACTTTAGGTAGATGTTGAAGTAAAATCCACACCCCACATCCGAAAAAACTTCAACCAACGACTGCAAGGATGGTGGCTTCGAGACCATCTGGCGCCTGCGGCCGCGAGGTGTCTGCCGGGACACCGGTTGGTCTAGGGCGAAAATAAGGGAGTTGTTCTGTGGGTTTGGAGTCCAGCCTTGTGAGGATTTTAGGATTATATTTTATGCGTTGCTCGGGGTTGCTCTCATGTCATGGTCCGCTGTTGGCTTTGGACTGGATGTGGGGTTCTGGAGGTGAGTTGCATGTGCAGGCGTGTTCTTGATCCTGCTACGTTATACCTAAGCACAGCAGCCACGCACCGCTGTTCGCAACAGAAAGAGCGGTTTAGCTACAAGTGCACTGGGGCCATGTTAGAGCAACTGGAGCTAAACCAAAAAAATCCACATGCGTGCTTCCGGTTCAAAACCTACACCTTGAAGCCCTGGAATCCCATGAAGTAAACCCTAAGCTCCCTCCGTATATTTTCATACTTGCCCTAAACCCCTAAGCCCCTAAAGCCTTGAACCCTTGAACCCTTAACCCTTCAACCATCAGCCTCCTAACCTCTCGAGCCTTAAGCTTAGGGCACAAGAAAATCCTGAAAGCCTCAGCCCAGAGCTTGGACCCCTCACCCCCTCACAGACCCCAATCGTCCCGGCGAAGGCATGGAGTCCTTCCCTCACTTCGCAAAGCCCAAGAAGGCGATTTGCGCGTTTGGGGTTTCAGGAAGTTTCGGGTTTGGGGAAGCTGAGGGTTTGGGGTTCAGGGTTTGGGGTGCGTGGCCAGGCATGGCATTCGGGGTTTAGGGCTTTAGGGCCTCGGGTTTGGGGGCTTGTTTCTCCGGAGTTCTGCAGTTTGGGCTGTAGGCTGGCCTTTTCGAAGGGTCGAATTTTGGGGAATCTTCTTACAGACCGTTATTCTACGGCGGCAAGCAGACTTACTGTGTACGGTTTCAGGACTCTTTCGGAGTTTGTTCCAGGCTGTTCCTGCCACGGCGCGGCAGGCGAAGAAGAGAGGCAAAGACGCCGAGGCTATGGTGCTGCAGGCGGGGCTTCGTGCTGTTTAGTTTGTAGTTTTTTCCAGTTGTTGTTGATTACTTTGGCGTTTTTTTGGCGTTGATGGCTAGAAGCGGCTAGAACGTTTCGCCAGTGTTTCTGTGGGACCAGAACCCTAAACCCTAAACCCTAAACCCTAAACCCTAAACCCTAAACCCTAAACCCTAAACCGGTGACATCATCCGGGGTCCAATCCTGCATCGGGCCTGCTCGGTTGAATGGGGGGCAGGAGCTGAATGTGCACCCTACAGCGTGGTTTCGGATTCAGGGTTTATGTGTATGTATGTGTGTATGTATGTATGTATGTATGTATGTATGTATGTATGTATGTAAATATATATATTTATTTATTTATTTGTTTGTTTGTTTGTTTGTTTGTTCATTTGTTTATTTATTTATGTATTTATTTATCTATTTATATAATACATATATATATATACACACATACACGTACATACATGTGTTTTTTTAGAGTTTTAGGGTTGGGGTTTCGCTCTCTGTATTCAATGCTGCTCTCCCGAAACATGCCCTCCATGTTTAGGTCTCCACATGAATTTACGTTCCCAAACCGGACTGGTCCACAGGATGTGGAGGATGCGCCAGCGGTGGATCCGCGAGATCCGAGCGAAAGGACCAGCCAAGCCACGATGACAGGGATGTCTTGGATTCATGGGTTCAGCCTTTGGTTTGGGTTTTATCGCTTGGGGCACTTCAGCGGTTGTGCTTTAGGGTTATGGATGTGGGCCAAGTGCAGGGTGTAGGTGATTAGGGTAAGCAGTGTAGTTTTAAGGCGACACATACCTCAAATTTCAAGACCTGGACCCTAACTGAAACTCCAAACACCCGAAACCCTGAACCACAGGAAGGAGAAGGACGCCTGGGTTGTTAGCTTACTGCCAAACTTTAAACTGAACAGGGACCTCATAGTTGACTCTGTTGTGTCTGCAATACCCATAAGTCATGCGCACAGCCTTTATCCCTCAAAGCCGAAACCTCAGACGCTAATTCTCTCTACGCCATCGCACTTGCATTGCGACCCTCATTAGAACGGTTCCAACAGAAGACCCCAGCTCCGCAGCAAGCCCTGAGTGCAAGGTTTAGTGTTGTAGAAGGGTGATATTTTTTACCCCCGAGATAAACTCCCTTGGATTAGGGTTCAGGCGCGGTAAGCCCCCTCAACTCCAAACCTTCCCCTCAATCCCAAACCCTAACCCAGAGAGCCCAATATCCCTTAATTCAGGAACATACCTTAGATCATAATATGAAGGCCCCTGTAATTTAAGGTATAGATTCCTTATTTAAGGGGTATTGGGCTCTCTGGGGAACCCTAAACCGAATAAACCCTAAACCCCCTAAACCCCTAAATCCTAAACCCCTAAACCCTAAACCCCTAAACCCTAAAAGGGAAACCCTGAACCAGTCTTCAGCTTCGCAGGAAGAGGGCCCGCATCGAGGAGCCCGGTCGGCTGGCGGAGGAAGCGCCTGAAGTCGAGGCCCTTGATCATCGGATTTGGGGCTTAGGAGTTAAGGGTTTAGGGTTTCATAGGGTGTGGGAGCTTGGGAAATGTTGGGTTCACAGAGCTTTACTTTTCAGGTTTTGGGGTTTGGGGTTGAGGATTTGGGGTTTGTAGAGGGGTAGGGGTTTTCGTTTTCGATGTAGGTCCACGTAAGTTCTGCATACCTGTGCCGCTGCAGCACATATACACGTTCCCACGGGTTTTACATGTGCAGAATTCCGCTACATTTGCAGGGGCACATACACATGCCTCGACACATCCTCAACCAGCATCCGTCTATCCTACAATCCACCCACCCTAAGCCCTAAAATCGAAACCCTAAGACGTAGCCACCTTATAGAAATGCATAAGCCCAATCCGTGCAATATCGGTAGGTAGATACATGGGCCCTAAACCCTGAACCCTAAAGCCGTACATAGGTAGAGGCTGACAGCCCGCGAGGTCGAGCCGTGCTAGGAACGATGGTGCCGACAGACGTACTGGGTCCTTGTTGGATACATTTTTACATGTTTGTTATAATACAACCTTAATAAGGATTAAAAATGATCATTTCTAATATGGCCTCAACAGGGAACCAGAGTAGAAGAGAGATTTCAGCTTCTCGGTTTTGAGGCTTCAGAGTTCTCGGCTTTGTAGGATTGTTTAGGGTTGTAGGATGTAGGGTTTTGGGAGTGCTTCGATTGAACAGGTCACTTGCAAGAGGCGAGGGCGCTACAGGATGTAGGAAGGGGATAGCCCGGGGTTTAGGTATAGGGATTGCTCCTGACGCCGTGCATCAGTGAACCCCAAAGCCCCTACACTCCCCATGCTCTAAACCCTAAAGCCCTAAAGCTGCGTAAGCCTAAACCGTAATCCCTAAGCCCTGAACCCTAAACCCAAAAGCTCTATGCGTCCATGAGCCCTAAACCCTAAACCCTGAAACCCTCAACTGAAACCCTGAAACCCTAATCCCTAAACCCTGAAACCTTGAAACCCTAAACCCTGAAACCCTGAAACCCTGAAGCCCTAAACGCCTGAAGCCCTAAACCCCATTTTGGGCCTAAGCCGCAACCCCCTAAATCGGCCAGAAGCGCTTCCAGGAGATCGGCGAGGGACCCGCGGTCGATCCGCGAGAGCCCGTCGAAAGGAGTTGCCCACCGTTTGTATCCCAATTTGAGTAGGGTTTCGGGTTTAGGGCTTTAGGGCTTTAGGGCTTTAGGGGGTTTAGGGTTTGGGGTTTGTATCCCAATCCCCGGAATAGGGTTTCGGGTTTAGGGGTTTAGGGGGTTAAGGTTTGGGGTTTGAGGGTTTTAGGGGTTTCGGGTTTAGGGTTTTGGGTTTCGGGCTTTAGGGTTTTAGGGTTTAGGGTTTAGGGTTTAGGGATTTAGGGTTTTAGGGCTTTAGGGCTTTAGAGATGCTGATAAATGGGTACTCCTCTGAATTAGCGCCCCTTTTCAGGT